GAGAGAGAGAGAGAGAGAGAGAGAGAGAGAGAGAGAGAGAGGGAGAGAGAGAGAGGGAGAGAGAGAGAGTACAGAATGAGTCACTCTGGGGCTGAGGCTGCCAATCAGGGCATGGACTGGGGTTATAGGAGCAAGAGTTTCTAATAGGCAATTATAAATAATATGTTTTCTTCTCGTGGGTATTTTTGACTCTATGAGTGTGACTCCCACCTCTGTCCACTCCCATCTTTGGTGAAATGGACAAATGTGGACAAGCCAAAGCGTGCACGCACACACAGATATGCATGTGCATTTTTGTATGCACATCAAGTGTAAACCCAAGAACAGACTGATTTCCACATCTGGAACAAGAACAGGACAGAATGTTTAGGGTTGAAAAACGGAGCAAGGATCCATAACCTGAATAAAGGCAGCAGAAGGTAAGCGCTTAGAAACTTCCGGAACTCTTGCAAAGGGATCTGAATATTCATGACCATCAAATAAGAATTCAAGTCAATCTTAAGTTTCTAAAAACAAGAGGACTGCAGGTGTTGCCACAGGACCTCTTTTTCCAGGTTGTTGTGAAACAGAAATGATGCACGGAATGCTCCCAGCATAACTCAGGAAATGGTAGCAATTACGATCACGTAAGTGAACATACACACACACACACACACACACACACACACACACACACACACATGCAAAAGCAAGGCATCATACCCCAAAGCTCGATGACAGGGACGAGGACAAAGGTGGAGAACTGGGTCTTGAAGCATTTGCAGGGGCAGAGGAAAGCAGCAAGGGCAGCCCAGGTTAGCTCCACAGAAAGGGCCGAGGCACAGAAGCAGGACCTAACAAGATCACCAGCCGTGCCTGTGCACCAAACACTGGAACAATGTTCCTTGGAGGAGACAGAAACAAGTGTGGGAGGTGGTTTGAACCAGGTAGGAGACTGGGCTTAAAGGGAGTACTAGGGTGGAGGGGATGCCAAGATCCCTGGTCCTAGTCCCACAAAGGACCTCCTCTGTCTTAGGCCTATAAGCTAAAGAAAAAGGGCTTTTACTTGCAAAAAGCCCTCCCAAACGCATTGGTCTGATGCCAGAGTAATGGGGAGCCAAAGAAGGTTCAGGAGCAGTGAGATTGCAGGGCAGGGATAGCTCTCACCCAAACACCTCTTCTTATCCGCTGCTAGTTTGTAGCCAGAGTTGCAGGCACAGTAGAATGTTCCTGGGGCATTGACACACTGGTGCTGGCAGCCATGTCCCCACTCAGCACACGGGTCCTTCCCTGAGGGCACACAGCACTAGGATAAGTGACTAGAGCAGAGCTTGCAGCGTTTGGGGGCAGAGCTACAGGGAGGAGGAACCAGTCCATAGGAGGAGCAGGACTTCTGTAGATGACAGCTCTTCGCTTTGGGGAACCTTCCTTTAACTCACCGCACAGTCGTCCCTGGAACTGCAGGCCAAACTCCTGGATACGGTCAAAGGATTCAACGAGAAAGACGTGCTCGTCCAGTGGGGGCGACGCCATGGCGCGCAGGGAGCCCACGTCCGCTCGCTGCACCCCTACCGCGTAAATTTCAATGCCGCGGGCGCGCGCTCGAGCAGCCACCTCGGCCACACGGTCTTGGGGCCGCCCGTCGGTCACAATGACAGCGATGCGCGGCACGCGCTGCTCCAGCGGCCGCGCGCCCTCGGCCTCGCTGAAGGCCACGTTCATGGCGTACTGGATGGCCAGTCCCGTCATGGTGCCCTGCGCTAGCGGGACCAGGTCGCGGATGGCGAGCTCCATGTCCTCACGGCGCGAGAAGGCTCCGAGCGGGAAGACGCTCTGCACTTGACTCGAATACTGGATCACGCCGACGCGCGTGGCGTTGAGCCCCACGTCCAGGCTGCGGACGAGGCGCACTAGGAACTGCCGCATCGTCTCGAACTCGAAGGAGCGCACGCTGCGGGAGCTGTCAATCACGAGCACCAGATCCAGAGGCCCAGTACGGCACCTGGGGCCTGCGGGGTAATGAGGGAAGATATTCGTAGGTCCACAAAGCCTTTTCTCTGAGGAGAACCAACCCCTTCCCCGGTAGAACCTCGAAAAATGCTGGTTTCCCGACAGAACAGCGCCCCCAACAGCACCGACTTCACAAACACAAATTAATACCCTCTAGCACAGCGTTCCCTGAGAACTCCGGTTAGGACTTTTCACAAATTCTCCATTGGAGGTAGGTGGTATCCATTAAGAATGGGCCAGGAAGCCGGGCATGGTGGGGCACGTCTGCAATCCCAGCACTAGGGAGGCTGAGGCAGGAGGATCGCTGCGAGTTCAAGACCAGCCTGGGCTACACAGTGAGTTCCAGAGCAGTCTGAACTACATAGTGAGACCCTGTCTCAAAAAACCCAAAAACTAAATAAATAAAATGGGCAGAGGAGGAAATGTCCCGAGCACAAATAGCAACAGGGGGCAAGCAGGTTGGGTTAGGACCAAAGAAGCTGAAAGAACCTGTATCCCTCCTACCTCCCGCAGCTCCAATAAAATGTTACCATGTGGCCACCTGGACTGGATGTTAGCAATTTTCAAGAGTAGTCCCAAATCGGGAATTTCATGTGAAGTTTGTTATTTCCATGTCTTCAATTTAAAACTTCAAAATCAAACACTGCACATATAGTTCTGCATGAACCCAAAGCTAAGCCACATCCTACGGCAGAGGAAGCTGAGACTCGAAGAGCCAAAGTGGGAAACCCAAACTCAACCCCATATGTTCCAGAAACCGTGTTTTTCTTTCCCCTGCAGGACTGGCCTGGCAGCTTCCACTCCCCTCCTCCTGCTGGTGAGGGCTGGGCCCAGCTCACCTATAGACTGGAGCTGTGTTTCCCAGGGCTGGAGAAAGAGCAGCAACATAGCCAGCGGCCAGCAGAGAGGGCCCCTCATCGTGTTTGGGGGACAGAGAACGAAGAAGTCAGAACCTGAATGGAGGAAGGAAATGAGTAAAGAATAGAGCTATTATTCTGGGCAAGTGATCTATCACTGAGCTATGCCCCCAGCTAGAGCTCTTATGCTGGAGGATGGGCACACGGAAGGGGAGGGTCATGGGTTTATTCTACTAATCTATTTTTGTGTGTTCAAAATGTTTCACAATAAAAATATCATCGCAGTGGGATTTCTGGAAGACACAAGAGATTCTCCATAGAACCACAGAAGGACTTCGTTGAACTGCAAAATAATATAAACAAAAAGTAGATAAAAAGCACACCGTTTGACAATTGGAGCGCCTTTTCTAATGCTGGATATAGTGCTAAATGATTTTCACACAAGTAATCCTCGCCAATTCTGACACAAAGGCCGCACTGTACAGATGAGGAAACTGAGGCTTAAAGAAGAGAAGCGTGAAACCCAGTCATGCAGCAGGGAAGGGGCTGCGATAGGATCCTATGCCTCTCTGCTTCTGGGACCCAGCCAGCATGCTCTGTGCCCGCTGCCCCATGAGGCGAGAGCTTCTGTAGGCAGAAGCCGCCCCCACCCCCGCCTTGCACAGAGGAGCTTCGGTGTGGCTGTCTTTGCAGCCCCTCCCCAAACCCCATATTCAGGCACGCGCCGCCCAACCCAAGACAGTGAGGAAGGACCGCGTCCTTTCGCCCTTCGAGTGTAGAGCTGGAGACATCGTGGGGCAGTGAGTAACGCTAAAATCCATCAAGTGCAAGAACTCCTGACTTGGTGCCCTGGTTCTCCGCTTGCTGTCAGGAGAGGCCGCCAGGGGGCGCCTACCTGGATGTGGCTGCCACCGTTACGCAGTCCTGGGAAGTCCACACCTGCCCAGCAGGTGTCTCTGCCCAGAGCAAACAGGGGCCCAGGAGCCCCGAGGCCTTGGAGATAAGGCCTGGCCAGGATATATCCGGCGCACAGGCCGGGGCGCAGAGGTGCTCAGGGTTCCCAGGACGGTAGCATTGGACGCGAGAGAGCGTCCAGGGCCTCACAGAGCGGCCATGGACCCTGGGGGGGCAGCAGGTGAGCATTCACCCTCCTGCGGCCCCTGGCAATGTCCCTTGAGAATGACGGAAGATCTCCCATTGTATGGATGGGTAAATGAAGGCCCCAAAAGGCGACCCACTGGAGCCTAGGACTCCTGGGTCCCCTTCTCCCTCCTGAGCTGTCTGGCTCCCTGGCACCTACTAGGAGTCACTAAAGCTTCTTTCCTTCCATTGCCTACCCTTACCCGCTGCGCCTTGCACCCAGGCTCTTTAGCCATTTTTCTGTTGCCAGCTCTTGGCCGACACAGCCAGCCGCCCCTAACCCACCGCAGCCCCGCCCTGCTCCCCAGGTTCCTGAATGAGCCTATTCTGAGAGAGGCCGGCGCCCGCCGCTTGCCCCAGGCAGGCTTCCTGTCCAGGATTCTTCTCCCCCTTCGCCTTCCACCCCTGGTAGAGGAACAAAAATCCCTCTGGCAGGGCCTGTAGTGGGAGGGTGACTCAGCTGGACGTGCCAGCTGCTGGTGGAGGTGGGCGGGCGCTGGAAGCCTTCTCTACCTTGGGCCACAGCCAGGCCAGCACCCCTGGGTGGCGTCGGGGTTAAAGGCTAGAGGGGACTTTGCCACTCCTCACTTCCTACTGGCAGAAGCCACTAGGCCTCTAACCTTGACTAAGGTCCCCGTTATCCCTTTCTTGGCCTAAGTCAACATCCATTTGGTACCTACTCCATCCCGGGAATCCTAGACGGTAATAGATGAACTTCCCACAAACATCACCGCCTTCCCTTCCCCTTCGTTTGCAGGAGACGCCAGGTCCAGAGAGGGTGACGGGCCTGCACTCAAGGCGGCTCAGAGAGGGGGTGGCCCGGGTGGACACCAGAGCCCAGGATTCCAGTGAAGTCAATCCTTGGGTTAGAGAAAGTTCTCAGACGCCCTTAGGGTCGGTCGGCAGAGTGGACTGCAGGGTGGGGTGGGGTTGTGAGTAATTATTCAAGAGTTGGCCCGAGAATGAACACCGTGGGTGTGTGCCTGGGGTGGAAGAAGCCCCCCGTTTTTGTCCGCCTTACTGGTGGGGGTTGGGTTTAGAAAGGACCCCTCAGGAGAGGAGAAGGGTGAGGTGTGGCGGCCACACGCGGTGCCTCTGCGGTAAATAGGTCTCCGGCTGGGGCTTGTCGCCTCCCCCTGCAGGCTCCTCAGCGCCCCCGGGCCCTTTGACTCACCTGAGCCTGCAGGACGGCTCGGAGGCGCGGCTGCAGAGCGGAGC